GCGGGCGGCCGGTGCAGGAGCAGGTGCCCCCCAGGGCTCGGGCGTCTGGACTCGGGGGCATCAGCGGGGGTGGCCTTCACTTGTCGGGCTGGGCAGCTCCACAGGGGACCTCGTGGGCATTTGGCTTTTGCAAGTGCATGGCCCACATCACGTCCAGCCTGCAGCTGGCTTGAAAGGCCAAATCAAGGCTGTGATGGCACCAAGTCGTCTAAAAAGGGTGTGGGGTTATCACCAGCAGAGCCCCTGGTTTTCTCCGATTAAAAAAAAAAAAATCCCTCGTTTTTGGATTGAAAAAAGTAACCCAGCATTCATTTTAATCATGGAAAAATGTGGGTTTTGGGTTACTTTTTTCAATCCAAAGATTAAGGATTTTTTTTTTTAATCTGAGAAAACCAGGATCCCTGATCATCAGCCTCAGCTCGGCCACAATTCATTCTGGCTCCTTGTGCCCGCGTTGGTTCTGGCCCACACCTGCTCTGCTTCCCCACATAGCTCTATCCGTTCAGGCCTCACGTCTCTTCGCAGTGCCTAGCAAGCAGGAGGCAAGTGGGGCAACTGCCCCAAGGCACCAAAGCAAAGGGGGCACCAACAGGTGCTGCCTAACCGGGTCAGGACGTGGAACAGAGCCATGAGTGGCTCATTTTGGGGGCGCGGGGATGGAGGAAGGGTGGCTGCTGCCGCTGCGTGCACACCCGGCAAGCATGGGGGGGTGCATGTGCCCTCCTGGATCTGTGCACAGGGTGAGGGCGGGCTACCACCGCGGGCTTTGCCCCAGGCACCAAACTTTGGGGCTTCAGCACTGTCTCTTCAGCTCCACAGCCCCAGCTTCACATCTGACCACTCGCCACCCCCACCGCCCCCTGCCAACACCAGCTTCATGTCTGGCCGCTCGCCACCCCCCGCATCCCACCGCCAACACCGCGGCTGCTGGCTTCTTCAGCCGCTCAGGGAGCCCCAAAACTATTTCTTGCAGGGGGCCCAAAAAAATTGTGAGCCAGCTCAGTCTTCACCCACCTCTCCCAGGCCAGGGGAGAGTACCACACTAGGACCTTCTCCTTTTTCCCACTCCGAAAGAGAAGGGATTGGGGATAAAGCAGTCCTCTGTGTTTATAGAACAGGAGAGACAGGAAGGTAGCCTTGCACTAAGTGGGATTTTTTTGCTCTCTCCTCCCCAATTCCCTCTTGTGAAAATAAGTTCCCAAGGGGAAGGGAAAGATTTGTGTCTACCTCTGCAGCAGCCCTGATTTGTTGGTCTTTCCCAAGGACTAGGCAAGTGAGAACGGTAGCCAGGGTTTTTTTCCCTGACCATAATGAAAATGTACATCACTCAGCAACTCTACTTCCTGTTTAGAAACTTTATTTCCCAGAACTAGGACACACTGCTATAAGGCAAGCTTTAAGTATTGGTCTGTGACAAGCTATACTTTAGTCCAGAGGCGGGCACTTATTTTGGGTGGAGGGCCGCTTACTGAGTTTTGGCAAGCCATCGAAGGCCACATGACAGGCAGCCAGGGGCAGATAAATATTAATTTTCTAAATTTTTTAGGGGCTCTGCAAGCTGGATAGAATGGCCTGGCAGGCCACATCTGTCTGCGGGCCATTTTGCCCACCCCTGCTTTAGTCTATGGTAGACAATACAGATATGCACCATTTTGAGACAGGTGTCTCAGACCACATTCAGTCTGCTTCACTGGGAAGCTCCACATGGTGTCAATGGCACCTAATATTATCAGCCACCCTGTTCCGAGGAATGTCCCTCAGCTAAACTATAACACCAAAAGGCATCAGAGATTCACATCATGTCCAGCTGATGGCAAACTGACCTGGGTTGTAACAAATAACAGATTTGGCCATGAAAACAAAAAGTTTTGAGGAAGGGTTGATATGCTGTAGGTCAGTTGCTGTTAAAGGCATATGATGAAACAGTGCTCCCCAATTAATCTGGAGGTTAAATAGCAAATATCCAACTCCATGTGGATTCATTCCTTCTTTCCATATTCCTTAAGTTTACTAGCAAAGCCATAGTAGTCATGCAGGATAGAACACCTAGAAAGAGACTTTGGGCCATGATTTTTAACATTAATTAGTGATTTGGGAGATGATTTGTTGAGCCTCCATTTTTATATGTCTAACTTGGGTCATGCTCTGAATATTTGCTGTTGCAAAGTTAGGCACCCAAAAACAGAGTTTTTCAAAATCAGTATTGTTAAAATCTTATCTTTGATCTTAATTTCAGATTTGGAATAAATCTTCATGGTTTATTACTTGTCCTGTACTGTTTGTACACAGGACTGGAATGGACTATGTGGGCTATTGAGTCAATCCGCTTGTAATAATGGGCAACCATGCAATAGACACAAACTCCAAAAAAGTTCATAAGAATATCCATTCTGACTCCCCCATTACCACTGTGAGCCACAAATCAACCACAACACTCTGTGATAAACTTTGGCTCTTTAGTACCAAAAAAACAGAGCTCAACAATTTTTTACCCTATGGCTGTGATCCAGGTTGGGTATTTAACCACCTTTGTTCCAAAGCATAATTCAAACTGGTTTTTCACTAGTCCCTCCCACAAAACTCATTTAACACTTCTACTGTGGGATGAAAATTTCCCTGTGAGTCTACGCTAGGGTTTCTCTGCATGCATAGAGACATGATTCTACCACACCTAACGGCTGAATAAGCAATCTTGTGATTCAAATTGCTGCTGAGAGGCAACTACACTCACCCTAAATCCTTGGAAAGACCGCTACTGATAACAGGAAGACCCATAACTAATTTGCATCCATGTTACTGAATTCAATTTAAAAAAATGACAGGAAGTGTGATGCCCACTTTCTGTCTCATAGCCTGGTAGAACAATACAGGAATCAGGAACTGGCACCCAGGACTCCTCTCTAGAGAAGTGGCACAGCTGGTTGGCTACAGAGCCAGGCTTCCACTTGCTGATTCCAACCATTGTTTATGCATTCTGCATTGGACATTATACAGCTGGCCCAGGAAGCCCACTCCCCAGCCAGCTCCCACCTGGCAGGGCTAGACACTAGCCAGCAGGGCCCCTTGGGTGAGGCAGGGACCAGGGTTAGCCCCCTCCCTCCAGCAGCCAGTGGAGGGAACAGGAGGGGTCTTATTCTGCTGCTTGGTGGCAGATGGAGCAGGCAGACCTGGCTGCAGTCCCCCAGGGACAGTGGGGTAGAGGGGAGAGTAACCCCCCTCAGTAGCCATACTGGCCTGCCACTACAGCAATGGGGGGCGCCCAGAAAATCTGATTTGGGCCTCTGCTGATGGGACAAGAAGGGGGGAATGAAACCCCTCTCTGGCCAGACCCCTGACCCTGCCTGTCCGCACTCTGGCTGGGGAGCAGAAGGGTGGGGCCAGCCCTGCTCTGCTGGATCAGAGTGTCCAGCCCAGAGAGCATGTTAGCATCCTGGGGGATCCTGGTTTAACTTAAATCAGGAAGGGGTCTGGGACAGACATTATTACATAAACTGGTTTAAGCCAAGTCAGTTAAGTCTGATATTACATCCAACCAGGTTTATCTCAAACTGGTTTCAGCCATTTTAAAACTGGTTTATGTGCACTGAATATCTGTTATTTTAAAGGTTTAAAACAGTTTCTGATCACTTAAACCGGTTTATATGTAATGTCTCAGACCTACTGGTGAAGTCATAAACGTTGCGTGCCTCCTGAGGCTGACTGGGCACAGCGAGCTCCTTCAGGTGGTGACAGCGGTGGCGGTGAGTGGGGAGCTCCCACAGGTGGCAGTGGCAACAGCAAGGAGGAGGATGTGGCGAGCACCAACTGGTGATTGGCGACCACCTGCGGACGCTGTCGGCGGTGGCGGCAGCAAGGGGGGGTGGCGAGCGATGACCATCCGCAGGCACCAGCAGCAGTGGCCAATCTCAGGGAGCGCCCTGCCAATCTCAGGGGGTGCACGTGCATCCACATGCACCCCCTACGCGTCGCCAATGGGTGCAGTTAGGGTTGCCAACTCTGTTTGAATCTATTCCTGAAGGTTTAATTATATGACGTAATGACATTAATGACTGATCTACTGTATTCTAAATCTCATTCACTACAAAGCTATCCTTTTGCCTTCAGTGGAAATAAGGAGTATCGTATGAATCATAATTCACATTTTAAGCCTATTGCTTTAATAAACAACACACAATGCAAACCTGCCCATGTGCTTGTGTATTACAGATTATGGTGGATAGACTTTACATCAGGAAGGCAAATGCACATTTTAAAAACCCACTGAACTACTATATAAATCAGATCCAACATTTAATATTTATTTTAATAAATGCTCTATCATTTTTCTCCCTGGTGACTCGCAGCAGTCTCCTAGAGATTTATATCTAATTCCTGGAGACTCCAGGGCAATCCTGGAGGGTTGGCAACCATGGGTGCCGTGGTTCTCAACCTTTTTTAGACTCCAAGCACCACTCAAAAATTGACAGGTCTGAGTTTCCACTCATTTTTTGACTATGGAAAAATGATAGAACAATTTTTCTGTTTCAAAGAACTCAGAAAGACTATAACAGGTCAGAATGGTTTTGACACTATGGATTCCTATTTGAAATCTCTGTGTTATACTGTGAAGGTGTTTGTAGTCTATGGCTGTTTGCAAATTGAGTAGTGATATGCACCATGTCATACTCTATTGAACCTACCACTTGATAGTTTCTAAGTGAAACACTCTCAAATTGAGAAAAAGATACCATTAAGCCATGATACCCAGTGCTATACTGTTATATTGTTGTTGTTATGGTATCTTCAAAGTTGTGTTTAGCATTTTTTTAAACACAGAATCTTCAAAAGACAAATCTTTTTTTAAAAGGTAGTATTTAGTAACACCTAACTGGCTACATAAGAGGATGCAGTATACATACATCACAAAGCTATTACTTATA